TAATGTAATCTTGATTCAGTGAGGCAAGAAGAGGGAGGGGAAGGAGTGGTAGCCTATTCTTATCAAACTGCCGGCCTGTCTGCCACAGACCCCACACCACCCTGGCGATCTGCCATTGCGAGAACCAGAGCTGTAACTTCCCATGCTTTGGCCAGAGGCAGGGCTGGTGCAACCTCTCTGGATGCTTGTCTCCAGCCACACTCGTTCTTCGCTAGGCGATCCTAAGTTCCAGTTATGATGGGCTGTTTCACCCATAAACGTGACAGTATCATGCATCAGGTATAAAGGGGCGAGTTATCTGAAGTCCTCTATTTACTATATAGAAGGAAATTGGAACAAAAGTAACAGATATTGCATCTGAGGCCCTCAAAACGATCACTATAAAAACTTTGCCTTCTGAGATTTCAAGTCATGTACTTTGGTAGAAATTCATCGACATTTCGGAACATATCGTCTCAATCTTCAGGGTCGAAAAGCAAACCAAGTAAGAAACCAGCAACAGATATGCAACAACCAGATGGAGAAGAATGCCTTCTTCAGGGATGTGGCCCAGTGTAGATATCGTGTAAACCGAGGTTCCTCCGAAACGTCGGTTTACACGATATCAACACGGCGCTACATCCCAGAAGACGGCAGTCTTCATAGTCACCGCTGTGGAAACAACTAATCTTACAACCAGAAGGAATCTTGATATTTGCTTAAATTTCTCTTTGACCCTGAAGATGGAGTCGGTACGATCCTCCGAAACTTCATTTAAGTATTACCGGACTACATAGCATTACATTCCAGAAATGTTGGAATTTAAGAACTGCAGAGATAATTCAATTCAATTCAATTCAATTCTATTCTATTCTATTCTATTCAATTCTTTATTAATAATGTGCCGAGTCAACAGCCGCAAGGCCAATTACAGACACAGCACAGTGCAGAAGAATGAATTACATTCTAGACAAACTTATTAAAAGTCACATACAAATTACAAGAAATAATAATGNAATGTCTGGTGATGGACATTTCTCCTGCCATATATGGAATTCTGTTGTAACTGCCTTGTACGGAGATCATGTCACAGCCGTAGCACAGGAGGAAGGGGCCCAAATCGAAGCTCTTCGGATCACAAAACTTGAGTTTTTGGTGGCTTTCCTGAGTCCTGCCAGAAAGCCACTATCAGATCCTGTCTGTTATCTACCCACACCCGTGTGAACCAGCTCACCATTCAGATAGGCGGGAGAGTCAGTAAATAGGCCACAAATGGATATAAAGCCTAAAACATGTGATACATATTCGAAACTGGAGAAACATTTATTTCTCGACATATCCTCCACCAACATTGATACTCTTGTCCCATCGCTTTACCAATGCGTCGAAACCCGCAGCACAGAAGTCTTTTGACTGTGGTCTCAGCCATTTCCGCATCTCCGTTTCAGCATCTTCGTCATCATTGAAACATTTGCCACCGAGATGGAAATTTCTTGCTTCTTGTTAAAAGAGAATCTGCTAATATTGCATGGTAACTCATAACTCTTTTTTTAAACCAGACACTCGAGTCCACTGTGACTTTCCAACACTCGACCGTGTCTAAGTCTCATTACGGATCGGATTAAGTCATAAAAATCTGTAGCAGACAGGCTGGCATTGTCTCTCACATTAACTCCAACGAAGTAATTCTTTGTTCCTGGTGTAATTACTGTCACAGGCAAGTCTCAGCTTTGGTGAAAAGTGCGGTGGTCTGGGTACTTGCTAACCCAGGTAAAATCATTTAGTATTATTCTATATAACATGAAATGAAATGCTAAGCGTAGTCCCTTTTTGGAAATACTTCTAACTCTGTAGTTCTAAACCTTTTTTTAATTCGTTTAGTGGGGGGTGGAGTCCAACTGGGTCCGCTTGGCACGGCGGCCACTGATTGGCCTATTGTAGCCTGCCCCGGGTGATTATGATGATGGAGAATTTGGTGGAATGAAGATTGGCAGGGGAAACCGAAGTAATCGGAAAAAAACACGCCCAAGCGCCACTTTGTCCACCACAAATCCCACTTGACCAGACTCGGGATCGATAAGCTTTAAACATTTGTAATAGCGCCAAGCTGTTATGTACGACTTGATTTATGCTTCGACCCATAGATGGAAATGCTATAGGCCTATTTCGATTTGTCCTCTGTATGCTGTGATAAATTATCGCTTCACGAGGTATTCATTATTCTTACCTAATCATTTTTCTGTAAATCAATTCAAAACGCTTTAATACATTGCTAAATGCAGGACTTGTCGGAATTGTTTGATACAGAAATCGTGTTTGGCTGTAGTAGTTCATAAAAGTAAACCTGGACTTGAAATACTTAAAAGTTGTGCGAAACCCATCGCCACAATGCTAATTTTGTCATATTAGGGTACATTTTTCTGAACAACTGCAAATTGTACAGTCCTCAAATCTGGTACACATATTCGTGTGCTTCCTAAATCTTCCGACTTGTTATTAATGATAATAAACCTTTAAAAGGGATTTGTGATTTCTCTTCAAAAAGACTAAATTTTCAATATTTATGATAGAAAATATATGTAATAACTATGCTACTTTGTGTGTCAGTAGATACAGGAAACCCATAAATATCTGTACGCCATATTTGAGGATTGTATGGTTCGTAGTTAGCAATATAACTGCAATTTATTAGCAATCTACTCATCAATCGCAATATTTGGAATTAGCTTAAGATTAGTTATTAGTTATTCGGGGAAATGTTGCCTTGTTATGACGAAATTAGCATTGCAGAGGCATGGCTCACCCCCATCACCCCTTTGAAGACCAGAATCGGCCGATAGTCTTCAACTTATATGCTTATGGACATAAAGGTCAGATAAAGCAAATTTATCTGTGTGCTTGATTACTAAAGCATGATGATATGAAGATGCATGCGGAGTGGAGGTACGGGTTCACGTACTCCTTACCTCAGTACTGATGGAGGTAAATGGTCAGCCTCACACCCCAACCGTTTTATCTCCTGGTCCCCATTGGTTAGAAACTGGATCGGTAGTAGAACTCGTCTGGACACTGCGGAGAAAAGGAATATTCTCTTGTTCCTACCGAGAATCGAACCTTAATTCCTGGTCCGTATTTTCTTATACGTACAAGAATAAATGCACTCATATCTTACTTGATTGTTTCTTATTCTATAAAATTTTCAGAGATTATATGAAAAACTAAAATTTTCATTCCTTGCCTGATTTTTCTACCCTATAGTTGCACTTTTCATATTTTATTTGTAAGATATGAAAGAAGTAAAGCTATCCCTGTAACAGGCCGTGGAGGCCCATAGGCTTGTAATACGTCGAGGTTCCCACATTTTCTAGACAATCGGCTCACAGATGGCGGTGAGGTTGTCAGCCTTTACCCCCAGGAATATTCTTGATACTCATTTCTGTTAGAGGCTGAGTCGACCCCAGGACAATTTCGCGGCTGGAGGGATTAGGCCAATCGAAAAATCGAGTGACCTCATCGGGAATCGAACCCACGACATTCCGGATTGTAGCGTCGTACCTCAAGCACGCTACCGCGTGCCCCTTTTCTAAGATATTAATTTAGTAATTACATATTCTGCGCTTTTGTGTTAACTGTAAATTTGCCATCGGTTTTGGCAGTTTGGAAAAAAAAACTTGAATGCAGAATATTTTGTAGGGAATGCTGGAAAGACCAGTGATATATAATCCGTGAAGATGATGATGAAGTTTGACGCAAAGGAGTATGCGGAAGGAACTTTTTGAATTTTAAGAATCTGTTGAAGGATTCGGTTCATCACAGAATGAAAACGCTATTTTCTACGGAGATTTGGCGGCCATGGGGCGTCAGCAGAACCCAGAGTCAGCACAGGATAGCTCTACATTTTACTTTCGCAGGAAGAAACAGACAAGAATTATCCTGGGTGATTTGTTTGACTGTGCTTCGGTCCATTTCGCAGTCCTCTCCTTCCTGTGGCCATTATAGCCAAGCATGTGCGCGTCTTGACCCCGGGAAGATAGCCCATTTGTTACCTCAGTGTTATAAGAAATATGAATTCGTTGCGCTCTGTTTCTTAAGCAAAAATATGACATCATCTTTAAGAAGAACTTCCATTTTTATTTTGTAAAAGTTTTACTGATTTCTCCGCGGTGTGGATATAACCAAGGAGAGCATATGATATGGATGCTGGAGCATACTACGTCCAATGGTCAACTGAGGGTCTGATGGTGAGATTGCGCCCTTTGAGAGCAGACGTCGGGGACGACGGGGGCTTTACGATCCGATAATATACTCTATTTACACCCTAGGAAGAACTTCATGGGGGGAGGATTTTGCGATTCAGAGTAAGAGAAGCTAAATGCGAGTTTGTGAAAGTTCTCAATTCTGTGTAGGCTACTATAAATGGCTGACATAAAGTTGCGTGAAATTTATAAAGGGTGTAAGGAAACCTTTCATCTATACTGCACATAAAATCAGTTACTGATATCGGCAAAGGAACCCAACTTGTGTGGCATCCTATTTTCTCTACTGAAAACATGTTCTTCACAGGCTCGTAAAAATTGTACACGATGTTTCAGAAGTCATGTACGATATTGCAATGCATATGATGAAACCTCTTATCAACAGCTTAGCCACCCATTAGTTTATCTAATAAACAGAAACTAAACAGAATTTAAAGTCCTCAGCGGTGGCAATGAAAATTTCTATCTTCTGGAATGTGACGCCGTCTACTACGTTCAAATTCAATCAACGATTGAGAGGAACATGTTTCCTCCATCTTCGGACAGCAAACAGAGCTCGACTTACTGCCCGCTTTTTGCTGGTTTCTTGCTTGCCTTATTCTCCAACCCTGAAGATGGAGGCGAAATTTTGCTCCGAAACCTCATTTTACTTTCGCCGCACTACACGGCGGCATATTCCAGAAGAATAAACACCAGCTGGTAAGGGTTGGTATTGCTGGTTGCTTCAGTAATGAGAATTACTTTGAAGTGGTGCTTGTGTTGCAGTCGCTGCTCCGGGGCGCGCTCAGTCAGCAGAGCGCCGTTATCCTGATCTGCATGGCTATAGACCGCTACATGTGCATGCTGCACCCAGCCCGATACCACAAGCATTCCAGCAAGAAGGTAAGCTGGCCCATTTCGTGTCGTATTTACGTCTGAGCCGCGTTTTGCTTGGAACTTTAGGTACAGTTAAATAGAATGTGGGATATACCGTATGTAGCTCTTATTTTCATTTAGAGATTTCTGAAATTAAATCTGCGTATACGTGGACAGAAGGCGCTAAGAATGAGAGAAAATTTATTTTATTTGACTTGGTTCGTCCTGGTCCGTCACATCAGTAAGAGTATAAAAGTTTATTAACGCCGTCCAGTGTGATTGATGAATGTTGTGTTTTTTTTAATAACTCATCCTTTACGCGTTTCGGTAGGGGCGACCATCTTCAGAAGGACATTATCAATACATACGGACACTACTCTTACAAAGTCATAGATATGAAATATTATATCCTTTAACAGTTACTAAGATGTGCAAGAGTTTGTTAAAACATTTGTAAATTATTATAATTAGTGTATTTACAAAGTATTGTTTAAAAAACTTTTTGTTAAAATCTAGAACCAATTTGGTTCGTGTTCTGTATACCTGTACGTCTTCTTTTTAAAAGAAGATGTATGCCGCGTTGTGGTTCCGTTGTTTGAAGAAAAAGACTCTTTAGTATCGTTGTCCAGTTGTTCAGGTCACGCTGTGTTGTTGTGCAGTTCTAATGTTTGTTGAGTCAAGTATTTTTACCCCTTATCAATCACATTGGACGGCCTTAATAATCATTTAATTTATTTTATCTTATAGTGTCAATATTATTTGGGATAATGTTTAATATATTTCCTTTGAACTTCCACATCCGTCTATATAAGTTAGCATGGAGATTTCGATGAAAACAATGAAAATGAAAGCCAGTTTTTATCTTATATCATAAAGTTATGCGAGGAGTCTTTATTGTCCGTACGTTGAACTTCAGGATTGTCCTACAGAAGATGAACAGTTTCATTCAAGAAATGAAGATTATGAGCCCGTCTTTGTTTACCTTAAAAAGTGAAGATATGAGAGGAATTTTCCTTCGAATCTCCATTTCATTCAGTATAAGTTAGCATAGAAATTTTAGCTGAATTAATGCATTTTACGTTTAGTTTAATATATAAAAATCATATGGAGAATTTTTGCTATGTTTGTTTTGAACTTAACTTTTTGTTCCATAGAAGTCTGCTAGACAGTTTCACTATGCAATTTATATAAACCAAAGTCACGTACATAACAAGAAGACCGTTAGCTGAAGACGCACGTTTATACACAAATAAATACTAATACATATATGAGACACTATGGTCTATAATTTTGTCGAATCAAGGCTGGATTAATCGGAGCACAGTGCTTAGTTGCATCAGGGATGTGTGCTCGAAGGGAGTTCTGCTTGATCAAAATTATTGCAAAATATATAATGATAAATTTTGTAACACTTTAATCATTCAAATTCAAGTCCTAAGGGAGCACTTAGGAAGCCTCCAGGTATAAAAGCTCCATGGCCCCTAGAATGCCTGAATCCGGCGTTGTGTCGAAGAGTTTACCTTTACATGAAAAGATGGACGCAGCAAGATTACAGAATGGGTGAAGACAGGTCAGATTATCAACCATAATGGCGAAGAGTAAGAAGCAGACAAAAAAACAAAGGAACTTGCATTTTGAGATGTGTAAAAGCAATGCATTTCATTATCCATGAAAATAAGTAGAAGAAGAAGAAGAAGAAGAAGAAGAAGAAGAAGAAAAAGAAAAAGATGATGATGATGATGATGATGGTCATGGTGATGGTGTTGATGATAATGGTGATGATCATCATCATCATCATCAAGATAAAGAGCAGAAACTCAAATTTAGAATGCATATTCTTTCCGAATACGTTCTTTGCAAGTGTGTAAATGTTACTGGCCATTACGTTCTTCTGTTGCAAATAAATGCCTGTTGTAAAGATAAAAACGCTACATAGAAATTAGTTTTGTTTGTATTTAGCAGACAGTTCGCGACCTCCAAAAATGTTTTAAATAATTACAGCGAGATATTTGCTATATTTGTTTATAATATTAGCCTTTTCTACTGTATGAACAACAAAACGTGTATTTTAACTTCATATAAAATTGGGTCATGTTTAACCGATACAAACAAAAAATGGAATACGCTCAACTTCTGTTGTGCCGATTTCAACAGCTAATTTCATGTAAATCCAGACAACAATACCGGAAATGAGACATACACATTCACAGACAGAAGGACATAAAAGTATATTCCCATTAAATATTCATTTTATATACTTTGTGCAAAGATCGTAAAGGTAAAGACAAAGTTGTCCCTGTATTTAACTAATTAACTACCATGCCATGAAGACATACTGGGTAATGAGTATATAGCTCCACCGTTCTTGACCTTCACGTCCCGGCCGCTTAACCCCCGTGGAAAGAACCCTCGGTACCCATTGTACAGGAGAGTGGTTGGGCCCAAGAGACGGTCTGGACGCTGTGGAGAGAAGTCTCTTGCACCTACCTGGAATCGGACCCCCGCCGTCCAGTCCACAGCACGTCACTATTCCAACTGAGCTATCCCGGCTCCTTTGGCAAATATCATATGAAGGATTAACTTGCGTAGTAGTGAGGTGCTTGTCATATCTTGAAAATCCCACTGCTACAAAGATTAGCTTTATTCGTGCATTGAAATAAATATGATGAATAAGTCTCACATATATCTACTGATGACCCACAACCACCCTGTCAGGCCGTACTGTAACTCTCTGGAAAATCTGTAACTTGAGCAGTAGACGTTAAGCCGTAACTACTCGAATAAATATAGCCCATGATTAGTACCACATACCTTCGCGTTATTTGATTAAGACCAGGGGTAGTAAGCCACTGACACCAGTGCCAAGCTTGGCACCCACCTCTACTATATCGTCTGACACATACTATTGCACTCCCTCTTTGTCTTAGTATCTGGAGCCACTTCAGGATTAAGTAATTCACTGAGCCATAATTCTGATTCTTAAGATACATGTTCTTTATTTTGGCTGTGTGGCCCTTTGTTGGGCCTTCGCCCCGTTCGGTTTCTTAATCCAACACACAAACGGAAGGACTCCTCGGACGGGGGATCAGCCCATCGCAAGACTTCTACCTACACACAGAACAACACAAACACAGAATAAAAGCAAACAGACATCAAAGTCTCGAGTGGTATTCGAACTCACGGCCACTGTGATCGGCTAAGATAAATGTTTGTTGTCACTTTATATATCCATCCTTCACGTCGATGAGTTCCGTAACCCAAGGGATGATAGCTTCAGGGAAATAATATTATTTTATCCTCTCAGTTGCTCTGAACAACATTGACTGAGGGTGTTTGAGAACAGGGTGTTGAGGAGAATATTTGGACCGAAGAGGGATGAAGTGACAGGAGGTTTGAGAAAACTGCATAAGGAGGAGCTTCATAATTCCTCCAAGTATGATTAGAATGATCAAGTCAAGGAGGATGTGATTGGCAGGGCATGTAGAACAAATGAGAGAGAATAGGAATGCATATGGGATATTGGTGGGAAAGCCAGAAGGAAAGAGACCACAAGGAAGACCAAGATGTAGGTGGTGGACAATATTAGAATGGATCTTAGAGAAACAGGATGGGGTGTTATGGACTGGATTCAACTGCCTCAGGATGGGGACCAAAGGTGGGCTCATGCGAACAGGGTAATGAACCTTCGGGTTCCATAAAATGCTGGGAAATTCTTGAGTAGCTGCACAATTGGCGGCTCCTGAAGAAGGGTTCAACTTCATGAGTCAGTGAGTCGTTCTGAACGCTGAGGTAATGAATTTCTTACTCATAGAGCTGAGTCCTTCTTTAGGAGCTGCCAGTTGTGCCAATACTCAATAATTTCCCAGAATTTTGTGGAACCCGATGGTTCATTACCGTGTTCACTAGAGCCCTCCACTGGTCCCTATCCTGAACAAGATAAATTCCATCCACACCATCCCATCCTATCACTCTAAGATCCATTTTAATATTGTCCACCCACCTACGCCTTTGTCTTCCCAGTGGCCTTTTTTCCTTCTGGGAACGGTGAGGTACATAAAATACGTTTAAAAATCCGCTTTTCAAACTAAATGAATGTCATTTACGTCGCTCTCAAAACCACGCACAAGATAAGAATTTACGAACTGTCTAACACAGAAGCGGTGGATATCTCATGAAGTTCACTACATGGTCCTGGAGCAACGAGGATATATGACGCAGTTTTGGTATATCTGAATCTGGCTCCAAGTTGCGAGGTTTGTCAGCCCTGGTCCAGTTTGAAGGACTCGTGTTCCTCTTCCCAGTCACACCAACGGACTCTCCCATCAATCATTCCATCAGGAAATTAATTTGCTACAAAACCGGGAGAGCGGAGTCAACATAGAACCAATATCTCAAATTGACCACCAATAGTATGACTTTGAAAGCATTACCAATTCTGTCTGGACGCCATTTCCAAAGTTACGCGTCTTATTAAAGAGGATGAATTACTAGAGCACCGTAATTTCCGTCACCGCCAATTTACAACCTGTACACCTGAAGATGGCCAGTTAGGCCGAAACATGTTGTGCCCAATAAATGAATTCGAAGAAAGAATAATGAGCGACATTGCACATAGAGGGCACAAAATCTCCTAAGTAAGATATGTAGAGTGCAATAGGGCGCTGAATCAATAACATTATGAATATTATTTTGTACAGCCTCTAGCAAAAATGTCTATGCTTTCCACGGTTTTCTATAGAAATTGTACTATAATGTGACCTGGCTCCTAAAAGCTGGATTATATGACGTCCATTGCTACGTAACGGCTGCAATAACGCATACTTCAGTTGTAACGGATACATAGGCAGACAGCTATCTAGGCAACAGAGACAGAATTCTTGAGTCCCCGCAGAAAAGGATAAGCTAGCCAACCCTGCGTCGAAGACAGAGAGAACCCTGGGACAAGGTGTTCTCTCGGCAGTACGCTAAGTTCTACTTTAAGATGGTAGATTGCGACAGTCAAAAGTGATCATAGACGATGGACTAGT